ATTTATTATATTTAAAAAAATAGAAAGCATTTTTCAAACTTTGAACATATAATCTTTGTAAAACATTCTATCAGATAAACATAACATAAAATACGTGACATTTTAAAGTCTAATATTTCGCACGCAATAATCCAATAAGAGAGATTCGTTATTTTAAAAACAGTGCAAATCCAGTTTGCAAAAAATATTAAAATCGAGCTGTTACATTGATGTACGCTCGTACTGTTTTTAAATTTGTTATTTGTTAAAACTGAGTTTACATTGTTTCTAAAATAAATAACTAAATCTATGGCGACATAGAATTAATTATGCTCCATATAACACATTTAAAAAGTATCTCATATTCTCTCTCTCTCTCTCTCTCTCTCTCTCTCTCTCATTTTGGTGCGATGGTTGCTTTATGTTTATAAAGTGTCGCATTCTTCAGGCTACGCATTTCATTTAGTCATAATTTTGTTCTACATTAAAATCTTATTTAATCCTTAGACTTAGACCGAAGTTTCATCCTGTTTGAAATGACGAGGATTAAACATCGATTATTTTTTGCAAAGTTTCAATAAGCAATTGCTCATTCTCTTTCAGATCGATTCTTGAATTTTTAAGGATTACTTTAAAGTTTTATTTCTTTGTTCTTTGTTAATAAAAACTACTTTTAAATAAATTATATGAAACTAATTACTCTCGAGAGTTCAGTAGCATGTGATTTTACATTGAGATATATTAATAACTTCTAACGAAATATCACTTTATCAATAAATTCGCATAATCTCCAATCGATAGCGATACTTTAGAAAAATTTGGAATGTCTAAATTTATTGATTTTGTTTCGGACAACGCTTGTATGCGTTTTTATATGTGTAAATGGCAATTACGTGTGTCGCAATAATAAAATCACTCTAGTAGGGTAATAAATAGCAATGCGATCAATATCGCAATTTACGCGTTTATACCATTTTGATAATATACATTATCAAGAAATGTGTCACCTGTCCACAGTAAACTTTTACTGTCCTCGGATGTGCGAACGCGGCGGTTTTCGAAGGCAGTATTAGGTACGCGATGACATATTTTTTTCAAAATCGTTGTTTCCCGTTCACGCTGAACGATGCACTATTAGAAAAATTTCATCACCGTTTCCATAAAATTTAAACCGTTATGAAATTTTTATGCACACACACATACACACAACGTTTTTTATTAGTGCTTTAGAAACGAAATAACTAAAATGCGTGTTGTTGAAATAGATTTTTCTTTCGTATTGCTATTTTAAAATGTATAACGATATTGCAATTACAAAATGTCAAAGAGTATTATTACTTTTAAAATGAGGTCACCGCTTGCGTTTGCAGAACAATTATTTTTTCACTACTTTTATCTTTTCTCTTGATGAATTAATTCCATTTTCATAAATGGATGGTAATAAATTCTATTCGTGCGTGTAATTATTCAGGGTGCAGTTAATTATATGTGCTATTAGAATTCTGTGAATTTATTTGCTCGTGTCAGGAACGATTAACGTAATTAAAAGGAAACTTTCAATGACCTATTTTTGAAAAAATTTCTCTCCGGGCCGTGAAACACATCAACGGAGTTAGCGTATCTGGGTCATGGCTTTAAAGTCGATATCGTCGCATCGTGGCGCAATCATGACTTTAAATTATGAATTAAGTTATTATTGTATAAAATAGAGATCGAGAAAATTTTATTTTTCTTTTAAGTTCAAGTTGTGAGATTATTTAAATCATGGGAAAATATTAATTTTGATATTTTTTATAAACGTAATATTTCTTTTTATTTCGGAAATTCAGTATCGATTAATTTACAATTATCGTCGTAAAAAAAATTTTAAGCATGGCAGTGTAGTTTTGATGACAGAAACAAATTTGTAAATAATCAGTCTTTGATTCTCCGCTTATTAATCAGTCGTGTCCATTAGAATTTTGATATTTGTACCTGAGACGTTCTTGTTTAGTTGCGTGTGGCGATTACGTCATTGGCAGGCCGATTAAACAGTATCTTTGGTCCCAAGTAAATTAAACTTTTAGAGATAATTAATATAATATTCTGATATATCTTTATCGTGACACGAGCAAAGATCTTTTCTATTTATAGGAAAATATTTATTTTTTATAATTGCATTTTGTGACATCGCTTCTTTTGCATGACGTTTTTAATAAAATTTTTTTAAAAACATATTACGATTCATTATTTCGATATTTCAACGTAGGCATCTAGTTACTTTCAATCATTTCATAAATGGAAGGACGGAAAGGATTAAAATACAAATATGATATAAAAACAAAACAGGAAATGAAGTTGTGACCTCTTTTCGAAAAAATTGATATTATTTGTATTACTTCTTCGTCATTAAATACGAGATAGTTAACTAAACATATGCTTGCGTGATGTGTGTTGCATTGCATGCGCGTATCTCATTGTCTGACTAATCCGTAACGTTATCACTTAAAACGTACCGTGATAAATCTTATCTTCCCGCAGAATGTCGGCGGGTATGGAACTTCCGTATGTAACGCACGCGTTTCCAGCGATCGTAGAACAAGGATAAGATGAAATTCGCTCTATCGAGAACGTATTAGAGCCAGCCATATGATGTATTACATTGGCGATTGTCTTCGTTTCTGCGAAGAGCTTAGAAGCATTGCATCGCGCATCTCAAATCGCTTTGTTTCATATCTGTTGCTTATGCGCGTTAAATATTGTTGCATGTATACTCGCAAATAGCGAGAGAATAGTTGGCGGTATTTCCGGTTAGCTGATGATATCAGCACACGATATCAGTATGCTGCGTTAATTTCTCTTCGTTAAATCTTCTTTTCGTCATCCTTCGCTCTATTTCGGATGCACTTTGTTTCGACAGGATTCTACCGTAATTTTTTTGAAATTCTACGCTTATTTAGTAAAGCGGCAAGATGCGAACTTCCGCTCGCAATATCAGTATATATCATCATGCACTGTACAAAAAAGCTATTGACAACTCAGTAAACACCAACTAAAAGTAACATAACATTAATAATAATTACAATTATAATAATTATATATATATATATATATATATATATATAATAATTATAATACATATATTTTACATTCAACAATATAAATGTAACATAACACGTGTGTTACATAACAATTGAATTGCTGAATGTGAAATTATAACATTTGTGTTATGTCATTTTTAATTTATATTTACTGGGAATATTGTTTATATCCAGGAGTTATTTATTTTATACACATCTTTGTTTGTATCATTTAAAAATATTTTTAATCAAAAATTTAGAAGGGATTCGGTTATGAGTATTTTTTTCGAATACTGACTAGTTTTTATATCTCACTGGTTAATAACAAATAATGGCTCCTGCGAGACACTTGTAAACTTTATTACTACAGATAACACGCAGGCCATAATGCTGAAAGTTTTACGAGTCAAAGCTGTAAATGCCCAAAGTTTTATCGCTTGACATTGTGACATAACGGGCAAGTAAAAATATAATTAAAATAGGTAGATTCGATAAAACGGTTGCAGCTTCCATTCAATCACACACCTCGGGATCTAGAACTGCTTAAACAGTATTTCTCATGCGACTACATTTACAGTTTTCTTAGCGTGAAAATCGTATCCTGAGAATCGCAATTTTATCTTTACTAATTAATACAGGCGAAATATATGTATCAGATATAGATAAAGTACTCTCGTTATGTCGCCTTTGAAATCGCTGATTAAAATTCAACGCTCGAATGATAATGGCAGTCGTAGAATCGTAAGAAAAGTGTAGGTTAATTTAATGTAATTGAAACGAATATACGTACATATACTCGGCAGTTGAACCATGCGAGCGGAAGTACACACATCATTATTCGATACAAATAGATAAATAATCGATTATGTACAAGTATGAACAAGGTGTACAAGCCGCGGCGGTGACGTCGATGTGCTCGCATGTGTGCTTAAGGTGGCCCTCCAGGTAAACCACATTCGGCTATCCGTTTTACTCTATCTCGCTAAACTTTCGCGTGTTCCGCTCTCATGCCATTATCATTGCGGTAACGCGTTACGTTAAAAATATAGCGAGAGGAAGAAAATTGCCCCTCAAAGAGTTGATGACATGGATAGAGGGCTTTAAGTAAGAAATTGGACACCATACGATTTATCTGCCATATTTTTCTGTATCTTATGTAGGACCTGCTTAAAATCGAATGAAATAGATTATGCATAAGATACATTGGTAAAAATATCATAAAATTTAATGTATTTTCAAGTTACACAAGTTGAATTTAATTTCATGACATATTAAATTTAATGTTAATTATTTGTAATTGAAAAGTATATATATTTGTGTACATGTATACATGAAATTTAATATCTTTTCATAAAATTTTAAGAAATTTAATGTACTTTATAATGTACTTTCAATACTTGAAATATTTTAAAATCTTTTATAAAGTATATTTAAAGAATGTAAGTATATTTTATTAACAAAGTATACTTTTTACTTTTAAATACTTTATAATGTACTTTAAATGTACTTTATAATGTACTTTAAATGTACTTTTATGTAATGTACCTATTTTCCATAAAATTTTATGTGGATTTACATGAAATTTAATGCACACGTTTATTATATTTAAAACCATTGTGACTCAATTTTCAGTTAAATCATTCATTATTTTTCAGTTACTTGTTTAATCACAAGCTTCTCTTGCATATTATTTAAATTCATTAAAAAATTTCTAACAACGTAGCATAAGATATCCATGCATCTCATTCTATTTTATGCATCTATTTCATTCTATCTTAAGCCTGAAAAATTGGCGGATTAATTAGAAAGTGTCTAAACAGTATCCAATCCTCTTACTTGAGGATCTCTAGACACGGGTGTTCAACAGCGCTTTGGAGTAGACGCCGTTCGCCCGGCGTAACAATAATGTCGGAGCACAGCTCCGAGGAAAACAGCATTTATATATTATCACATAATTTCAGGCTACTGAAGTCTACATATTATCCACCCCCTTTCCGAGGTGATGTCGCTAAAATGAATAATTAAGTCGCCTAAAGTCGGCTATCGCTTGAAACTTGGTCAGTATATCTCTAGCTGAAACTTTTCGTCGTCGGCTGAGGCTGCGTTTCAACGTGAGCTCGTTGCGATAACGCTGCATTCCCACAATCAGGACATATATTTCTGATCGATAATTCAGAACTCTCGTAAAATTGATCAGGATTTTATTTCTTCGCTTACTACAGTCAATTGAGTGAGCGAAATTTTCTCCCTTTTCATCACACGAATTACTTTATCCATCTCACTCGTAGTTTAAGTTGCAACTTCATGCACTGCTCACGTCGAAATGAAACCTGAGCGCAATGCAGACGTCTGAAAGAAGTCTGCGGCCATGATACGAAAAGGAAATCCTTGCAATTCCCGTATCGTGTGTTCGGTATCTTATCGCAATTTTTTAAACAAAATAATAACAGTTAGCGCAATAAAACGATCTATAGAAAACTGATCGGATTCCATAAACAATGCCGAACACATGTAACTGTAATACATTTATATGATGCATGTAAATGTAATATTCGAAACTTTTATTCGCTGTCGGCGAGGTATAATCGACTACTTTTGGCAGTAAACAATAAGTGGCAACGTTAAAGTTTTTTTGCGTCACCACGGCCGCAATATAGTACGTCACATTGCGTTAAATATTTAACACCTCTCTCGATCGACATCTTGATTTATTATCTAGTAACGTTGCGACGATTTGACACGCAACGTGCGCGTCAACCATTCTGAATTATCTATTTTTTACAGACAATGTTGTGTGAATATGTCACGCGCGACCAGAAGAAAAGAAAAGTATGGAACACGAGACGAGACAGGAGGAGTTCGCCTCGGCTCTAAAATTGCTTGTCTACTCTTATTCTCAAGGAGACCTAACGTTTTTAGTACTAACATGTTGCGCGCGACGCTCGATGTCTCGGATTTCCGAACGAGGTGTTTTTAATCGAGACGTGTCAATCGGACCGACGTGGCGCCTTGGAAAATTAACGTCATCGATGCGAAAATTTGTTCTGCTACGATCACTCGAGCGTTATCTCGATAACGTTCGCGAGACATGTTGTGTAATATCAAATATAAATACTTTGTGTATCTGTTAATTGGAAAAAAGTGGCTCTATATATGTAAGACGATTTTATCTTCTAAGTGATGTTAATGTAAATGAGATAAGGTAATACTAGGCCAGTTTCATCGACATCTGTTAATTATCGTCTTTAATAGAATCAGAGGTGCATCGAACTTAACCGTTAAAACGCGGTTGAGGTCAACGCGATGTTGATGAAACTGGCTTATAATAACTTGCTATAATTCCCTAACAACGCATTATTGATCTGCTAAGCTTTCCCCGTCGCATCGTTTACCTTATAGCGTTCTCGGCATTGCGTTAAAATGGCAATCCCATACTACATAATCTTTCAGCTGCACTAATCGTCGAAGTTCAATCAAGGCGCAGCGTCGTTCGATCGTCACTAAGCCATTCTACCGTAATAGCGACATATTACTAGGATTTTATTACTTATTGTCCTCGTTAAAGTAGTTTCACTTTAGTTTCTCTGCGACCTACATTACGCGATTCTCTCTCTCTCTCTCTCTCTCCAACTTTTTTCTCCTCATTTGAGATGATTTTCGGGCAGCTCGACGGGGAATCATTAAAACTTTCTCGTGGATCCGGGATGGGACGTGTAACGGTACTTCGAGAAGTAATAATGCTTCTCGCGCAAGAATAATAAGATCTTGCACGCGAAGATAACGAAAGTATCAGAATTCGGGAACTTCCGGAACCCGCCGGTTATCGCGGCAGTGATTATTTCGATGTCTGCGAAGATGGATCGAGGCCTCGACAGTGAACTCGATCGCGCGTCTGCTGAAAGTTGTCTTGATTTCACGCGTCTGTTAAAAATTGACAATCGAAAACAAGTATCTCAGATACGTTAAAATTTATTTATTTTTTTTTTATTTAAAAAGTTACAAAACGATTCAGTCTTTTAAAATGAGAAAATTCCACTGGCAGTATATTGTTAGAAATTTACTTAAAAAATAGATGTAGACGACTGTGCGTGCGTTGTAACGTACTGACCAAAGCTATACGTCATAAACATTACATCACATCGCCGGATTAATCCGCCGTTACACGTTTTACTTCGCGCTGTTTTGTGCTCCGACGTAGACATCACCGAACTTATAATCCTAAGCACGTTCCAGTCGCTGCTTTACAATTCACGACGTCCCCTGTAATCAGATCGCCCGACTCTCCATCAACTCACTCGTCATTATTCCCTGAATTTAAAACGAGAGACCTACCTCCCAAGAACAACCGACCGGGAACGAAAGTGTTCGTTCGGCAAAAAAAAAGCGTTCTCCCACTCGCCCGAGTCATCGAGCATCGAACGCGTTTTCTGATCATAGATGAGCTCCGGTTTATCCACCTAACGTCCCAAATCTCTTGCACGCGACAGTTCTGCGCGTTACGTGGAGGCAGTTCCGCGGATCCTCCGGTGGCGGCCGGCTCGGCGACTTCTTCAGGAGAATAAAGCCGAGCAGAGTCTGACCGCTGATCTATAGAGGACCGTCGGAACCCATACCGACGACGACGTGGACGACGGCGATCGTCACACAGTGGTGACCCGGTCGACCTCGACGTAACGCACAGAACTGTCGCTGTGTCAGCATATCACTTCTTTGCCGTCGATTATCGCCGTCTCGGAGGAGATGCTCTTCAGACGATGCTGGGATATCGAACGGCGACCGCGCCGTCGGCAGGCCCGCCAGACGATGAAGCAAATGACACCGAGGACGGTGATTACAAAGAGCGCGCCCAGAGCTAGTTGCAACGGCGGCAGTTGCAGCAACACGGAGCAATGCGTCAGGGCCTCGTCGTAGCCGGATGGACAATGGGACACTCCGTCGCACCATAGCGAGGCGTTTATGCAGGCGTCCAGCTCCGGGCATCGTTGCTCACAATCCCGCGACATTTGTAGACCTGCCGTTGACGTCACCGACGGTCTGTGGGTCAAACGGAGGATCGATAGAGGATTATATTGTTCCGAGTTGCGTAACGATGTGATTCTCATCGTCGCGCGATTCCCGTTCGCTTAATCGAGGACAGGATGTTAATTAAGTTTTCCAGAGAGACATTCGAATAGCGCTCGAATGGTTGTATTATAGTGCTATTGTATCTCCATGTGGTACCTCTGATAATCTATGATGTAAAGCCTATTACACAATAGAGTCGCAAATCGTAACCTGTAAGAAATTGGCCAATCACAGTTGAATATGATAAAAATAATCAACTATGATTGGTTAATTTTTTACGGATTATTGTGTATAACAGACCTAAATCATAAAGCGCATGAGGTCTCCCGACGAACTCAGATTGATTTATTAAAAACAGGAAGATTGTAATTGAATGCTATTCTTGTCAACATATTATTATTTTTTAGCAACATCTTAATTTTCACTTCATCTTTATTGTGAATAATTTATATAATGCTTTGCAAAACTTTTAATATCACTTTATTGTATATTTTTCCTCAGAGAGTTTGAATTATCAATTATCAAAAACATTTGTAGCGAACTAAACGTTGTAAAACTTTAGCTATACATTTTGTATATAGTGAGTTAACAGGAGATCTTTGCAACTTTCTGGCAGAAATGCAGATACACCGCGCGAATCTATTAAGACAATCTTCGTTTCTACGAGATTAATTATTCCGCAAGAGATTGTGAAAGTTATAGATAAATTACGGCGAAGTTTAATGAAAGGTTCATTTTTTTCCTTTTACAGAGGAGGTCGCATTTATAAAGACTCTATTAATTAGGTACGGTTTTTACTGTGCTTGCTATCAGGAGTGCTCACTACCAGCTTTGTTCACTTCCAATAATATTCATAATTGACATAATACCTGCGATCCATGTCAGATTTTTTTTTATCTTACTCTTTCAATCTCCGATATTTTATCTATAAAAATTTTATTATTACCTTCTAGTGAGCTCGAGCCACGTCACAATGTAGGAAGCTGGTTCTTTTATGATGAATTCCACGGCGATAGTCCTGATTGGATCCTGTCCCGGTGCGAGGATCATCGCGTTGCTGCTGACAGCCCAACCGTCGCTAAACACCTCTACCACATGATGACTCGAGTCAGCAGGTGGTTTCGGGCATACCGATACGTGTATCGCTCCACCTGTGTACACGATGATGCGATTCTTGGTCGCGCACTTCGTATTATTCGATACAATTACTCCGTCCATTTTCACGTATAAATACTGACCCGGACCAGGATCAATTAGCCACGGCTGGTTCTCGCAATTTTTCTATCGAGGATAAAGAAAAACATTGAGATACATAATATAGATAAATATTTACACATTTAACTATTAAAACTATAATTAAAGTTATTTTAAGCATTATTTTAAGCATTAAAGATTCAGCTTTGACTGTTATAGGCATTTAATTTCTAATTTTTATTAATTCTCACATGTACGATCTAAAATAAAATTCTTATTATTTATATTACATCATCTGAAAAAAAGACGTTTCTATATTGTTTATTGCGAAGAATATTACTAAGGTCTCGGTAGTCTAAAGACTTAGAGCGCTCGTACGGAATGCAAGAGATCCGGGTTCGATTGTTGGTCTAGATAATATTTTTCGTAATAAATTTATTTACTGCAGTTTTTCAACACATTAACATCCTTCTAATATGATACCTGATCGAGTATCAAATTATTAAAAATTGCTTGTTAATTTAATTTAATTTGTGATATTATTACAGTAATTTAATTGCATTTATAAGTCCGGAAAACCAATTCGGTGCGCAGTTCAAATGATTATAAATTAATATGATATATATACATGTACATATATAATATATACATCACATTAAATTATTTTAAGCATTAAAGCTCCAGCTTTGACTGTTATAGGCATTTAATTTCTAATTCTTATGATTAAAGTATTTTTATTTATTATTTTGTTTCAATATTTTTAACAAACTGAAATCGCGCATTTTCGAAGAGCGTATTTAAAATAATAATTATTTATATTATAATATTTTTAAGCATAATCTGAAACTAAATGATGTCCTTATAGTAAGAGAAAAATATATCGTATTTGTGACTATAATTGCATGTTAAAACAATTATGGTTAAGAATATCATTTTTATTGTTGTTATAATGTTATATATATTACAGTAACAATAACTTTATATGTATTATAGTTACAACATTTTATAGTATAATTTACTATATATAAATATGATTTATGTGTAAAATAATCAATTAGTTGAATGAATGCATATTATAATCATAAGTTAATGTTCAGATTATTATAATTCATATGGTCAAAACAATTATTTTGTGGTTGTCCCAAAAAAATGATTATAAATTATAATTAAATTATGGTTATTCCAACCATTTTTTCCTCTTAGTGTAAGTTTATTAAAATTTTTTCCATGTATTGAGAAAATGGATTTTGAGTATAATTTTTATCTTTTCATATTTTTTTAAGATTAATGAATAAAAATTAATTTGAACAACACTAAAGCTTATCTCGTTTACCTCGTCATCGTCGATTGGTGGTGTGTATTTAATTTCACCAGACGGCCCCCTAACTCTACGTTTCTGCATGCAAGGCATCGTCTTGACGAAGTCCCAGGTGCCCTCGAAGAAGAGATTATTGTAATCATCCAAGGCGTCCATAGATAGAACATTGAAATGTACCTCGGCAATATTAGAGGTAGATTTGATATTGATGGGTAACGATCGATTCGAACAGAGACAATCTCGCTGGATAGGCGGCGCATTTGGCCAGGGTAAATCAAGCACCTATAAACAGACAATAGACAGATGCATCTAACCATCTTTATCCTTGAAATATACATAATTTATTTTTTAATTAATGTTTGTTTCACTGCTGAAGAAACTATTTTAGATAAATGTTATTATTTCGCGTGAGCTTGTTATTATTTTTGAAAAACGCTTTGCAATATTATTAAATAAAAATGCTTTGAATACACATAAAAACAAAATCTCGAATTGATAAATCGTCTTGTTGAATTACGATTCCAAAATCATATTCCATCTGTCTTATCTACGTTATTAAATACCGAGTTAATAATAAGACATCGTGGTACACGTCTGAGTCTGATTCATGTTGGTATTGACTACTTAGAAACTTTGAAGCCTGTCGGTTTACTTCGGTTTACCGTGTTTGGATTCGGAGATTGCTGATACTTGCTATCGCAAAGCCACCGTTAATTACTCGATCAAAGCCACCTGTTAGTACTTCTATGTAACTTCTATTGTATCTCTAAGTTTATCACTGATAACTTTCCAACTTGTACTTTCCAAGATAATTCGTAGCTCACAAAAGGCTATTGTTTAAAATGTTCTATACATAGCAATTCCTTTTTTTTTATATAGGTTTTCAAATTTTGTATGTTGAAGTAATATCAAATGTATACAAAACCGTATACACAACAGTTCAAACAAATCAATAATTTTACGATATATCGATAATAAAATTTTATTTTCGCACGAGATATTGTACAATAGAGTTAGCATAGAACTAATTGCAATTACTGGAAATTTCAATTACGCACCTTAACCGAGAAGTTCTCAGAGTCAACGCAGAGCAGCCTATTGAAATCAGAGTTACCAACGCTGCGGCAGGTGCGATTTCCATTGAGAAGCTTGTTGAACCTCAGCTTCACCACCTCGTCGTGTTCTCCTTCGAAACGGTACACGCAGCTGCAAAACCAGTTCTGGCCTGCACTTTCAATATTTAATCGAATCTACATGCCTCGCCAACCAGGCAAAGGAGCCGGCTCAGTGATCGATACTGCAGGAAGATTACGAGGAGCATCGAAGGTTGGACACTCGTTAATCGAAAAGCGACCAAAGTGATTCTAAGGGATGGATCATGGCAACGTACAACCACCATTACCGTATTCCTGGTCTCTTTTAGGATATCGCCTTTTCATTAGTTAGATTGGAAATGAATTTCTTAGCAAATGCAAATACCAGTATTAAAAAGATCAAATAAAATCGATTTTACTGTTTTCGTCAATATATACAAGTGATTTAATAGTTCAGTGAATAAATATTTATTTGAACAAAACTATCAGTTTAGAAAACTTAGTTGCAAATTTATGTTCTGTAGTATAATAGAAGATTTTTTTAATGCAAGATGATTTACAACATTTCTGAAGTATTATGTAAAAAAATAATAAGTAAGATAAAAAACATAACTATGTGTGTAATATCGAACAATATGACAGAAATTTTGATTTGCTAGCAAGAAGACTTCGGTTTAACGGCGTGAAGTTCGTTTTATGAATGTCGTAAAGCCGCAGTCTAACTGATATTTTATCGAGATTGTAGAAGATTCGATCCTGCGAATAGTAATAAAAGAACGCGCGGCTTTACCGTCAAAGACGGGGCGTAATATGTTCGTCCCATAGGTGCGTGCTACGTGCCTCTGCCTCACTACATACATCTCAGTAATATGCATTTGAACGACGTAAAAATACAGTAAAAAATTTCAAGATTTGAAAAATAATATAGATTGCGATAAATTTATTATACGAAACACAGGGAGAATCACTAGAAATAGAATTGTAAATTGCATCTTACGTATCTTTTATATCTTCAAATATAAAAAAAAATCTTTAAAAGTTTTATAATTCTGATAATACTCCATAATATCGATTTATAATAATATTCGTAAATAAAAACATATATCTTAATCATTAATCTACATATGTAATTCTTTTATAACGAGATTAGCTAATACGAATTACACATCATGTTGTACATTTCTAATCGTCATTTAGCGTGTAGCGTTTGTGATTTTAATCTTATCATTTTTTCGTAATATGCCAGTCGTCGATCGTGAAAGGAAGATATGGAAGAATAATACATTTTATGACAAACCGATCTACGACACAATGCGGTTTGTTAATAGACCTGTTAATAATGGGCCACGAATTGACGAATGATAACGAATTGACGATATCATAATGGCGTCATTATATCGTTGCATTAGCTTTCATGACGGTATTCCGAACCGATTCTATTATAGATGATAAATATCTAACTGTCACTATAACGTTGTATCGGCAAATGAATTAATCACAGATAAATATAGTAATATCGTATCAATAAAGAAGTTATTACATAATCATATTATAAATTTCATAATAAAGTTCAATACACAAAATTCACGTACTTGGCAATTACCGAAATTAACGAATAAAAATCTTGTATAGCAATGCATATTTCGATAAGCAAATGTCTCTTTTTACTTGAAGACATCTCTAATTTGCTATTATAACAGCTCTTACCTTATGTTCTTCGATCCTCCGCGACCATATAGGAATATGTCGCGCGGTCCTTGAAATTTACGATCTGAATAATGGTCTCGAGTTCGACTGTAGAAAATGCGAGAACACGGACCGCTGCCGTAAGGGTCGCCATCCTGGTGAAGATCGACGAATTCGTACATAGCGCGAAAGTTTACAGGTCTGGAAAAAAATCGTATCAAACTAATGAACTTATGTTAAAATAAAAATTTTAAGAAAAATAAATTTAATCAAATTCAATAAAAAAAATATGTTCTATCTGGGCGTAGCCAACAAAATTTTGTTTAAGGAGGATCAAATGTGAAATTTTTAAATTCGGGGGGAGGAAAAAGTACTCAAGTAGTATGGATTATTGGATTTGTTTTTATATTAATATAATTTTATATTAATATAATTCTTTCTTCTTTCCAAAATTAATTTCTTGTGAATACTCATTAAGCATTAATTCGTAAATGTATAATATTTTTGTAATTATTTTTACTTCTCAAGTTTAGGGAAGCCACACTCTCCTTGTCTCTTCTTTCTTAGCTATACTCATGTATTTTATTTATTTATAAGATTAATTCGCGAAACAAAGATATAAATAAGAGAAAAATTTTATAATCGATAAATCTTCATCATCGTAATGATAACTCAACGTCTCCAACTTCGTTGAACGACAAATTAAACCCGGGGATGATAATAAACCTCATGCGGGAACGTATGTATCAACGTGACAATAACAGCGCGCGAGAAAGGGTTAATAGGCGCTGTCCGGAGCGGGTTCGGTGCACTGATAAAGATCGACGAACCCCAGCGGATTGTGAAAGGCGGCGGGCCTTGAAGAGAGACGTTGCACCGGCGGTTGCGGGGATGTTATTAAATCGGCTTGAGCTTATTATAAAGCGTCGTGCGCCGCGCCGGTAGGCTTTACCTCGCGCGGAAAGGATTAACTAGACCGTGCGATGCATCCGCATTGCACGTCACTCACCGTCGGCTATCACGCCCGAACACGCCGTATCCACACATCGATAGACACGTGCGAGAGGGGAAAAAAGACTTATTGTTAGAAAGGGAAGAGGACGATGACATGGAGATACTCTCGTCAGACATGGCATGATAAACGGATGTAACGCGTGCGAAATGTGAATCGGAGTGTGTCATCGACGGGCCCGTCGCCATGGAAAAACCAACTCTCAATTATTCATCGGCAAACGCCGATCTGAATCTTTGTCCGCGTTGAAGGATCGTCGGAATTATCGTGCGCGAGCACGACGGAAAATAACAGGGAGTGATGCGAATACCCCGCCGATTAACGTCACAAAGACCGATGTAATCGCGATTTAATTACCATTTAACAAAGGTGAACATTTTTACTATGTGTACACGCGTAAATATTGCGCTTAATCTCATTTTTAATAATAATCCCGTTATAATATTGAATCAGCTTTTAGATTGTCAGCACTTTTTCCTCTCCCCATCTTGTAAATTAATTATCTACAAAAGCTTTCAATGGAGTATACAAAGCACGCTATTTCATTACATTTAGATTAACATCCATGAATGGATACAACGCGTAACGCGATGTGGTGCGCGCGGAACAAATTGATACGCAAATACGAGCGCACCTGAAATTTTTCATGAAATCTGCTTCTTCGGTGTTATTAAAATTCACATTTTCTCATGCGCGACACGCGAGTTCATTTAAATAATTTTTATATTTGTGGAGCAACGAATCAAGAGATAAATGTAACACCTTTCGCACGGATGGGAAGAGGCGAAGGAGGAGTAAAAAAGATGGAGAGATGGAAAGAGCTGCGTATAAAATTAAGCAAATGGGATGTGGAAGCCGCCGTCGCCGGGTGTCTCCGGCTTCC